TGGAAACAATCAGACACTCAAGTCAGTATCTAACAAATGTCGGAGACATTTATGGGTTATAAAGTGTCTACCATGAGTGTTGGTAGTCTTAAACTTATATAACCTTGAAATTGTGATATTGAGCTTGAATCATCTAAACATGCCTTTATTACACACGCATCGGTGCAGACTGAAGCACAAGGAAATTTTCTTTTCATAATTTTTCATTAATAACAAATAAAAGGAATAAACACTAATGTCATGCTTGGATATTTTAAAACAAACTGAACGGAAATGAGCAGAATTGAAGAAAGCAGATTAGAGGTTTCGTTTCATTTGGATATTTTAAGACGAAACAAAAATATTTTCTCATTCTGCCCATACTACATTTGATCACATTTAGTCGATCCAAACAAAACCTAGTGTTTGAATGGGGAGACCAACTTAATAAAAAATTCCGAGTACAAACTGTAGAAATATGGAAAAATTTTATATATCTTGTAAAGAATACATAAGAGGTATTTATAGACTATACATCTATCTAAATAAGGGTGTAATTATTCTCCTATAAATGCTAATAATTATTCTCCTATAAATGCTAATTATTCATAATAAGTTGTATAGGATAGCAGCTCATAATGAGCTGTATGATATTCAACATATTCTAATAATAATAATACTAATATTACAACACTCCCCCTCAAGCTGAGGAATGGATATCTATCATCCCCAGCTTGCAAGTAAGATCTCGAAACCGCTCTAAGGGGAGTCCTTTGGTGAGCACATCAGCTAACTGGAGTCCTGATGGGACGTACTGTGTAGAAATAAGACCACTGTCCAATTTCTCTTTGATGAAGTGTCGGTCTATCTCTATATGCTTTGTTCTGTCGTGTTGGACCGGATTGTGAGCAATACTAATAGCAGACTTATTATCACAGAAAAGTCTCATAGGAGCTTCATATTTTATTTTCAAGTCATCTAGAATAATCTTCATCCACAACAATTCACAAACTCCTTGAGCCATGGCTCTAAACTCTGCCTCTGCACTTGATCTGGCAACTACATTTTGTTTCTTGCTCCTCCATGTCACTAAGTTTCCACCTAAGAAAATACAATATCCAGTGGTGGATCTCCTGTCAACAATCGACCCTGCATAATCTGCATCAGTATAGACCTCCATAGACAACTGCTCACTTTTCTTGAACAATAGACCTCTTCCTGGGCTCATCTTTAAATACTGCAGGATTCTATCCACAGCCTGTAAGTGCCTCTCCTCTGGATCATGCATGAATTGACTGACAACACTAACCGGATAAGCTATGTCAGGCCTGGTGTGAGATAGATAAATGAGCTTTCCCACAAGTCTCTGGTATTGAGCTTTATCAACCCTTGGACTTTCCTCATCACTCCCAATCCTGTGGTTTTGCTCTATAGGCACTCTGCTGGGTTTACAACCCAACTTGCCAGTCTCTTTGAGAAGGTCAAGGACATATTTTCTCTGAGAAATGAAAATGCCTTGTTTTGAGTATGCTACTTCCATACCTAGGAAATATTTCAACTTTCCAAGGTCCTTCATTTCAAACTGAGCTGCCAACTTCTTCCTCAAGTTCATCTTCTCAAATTCATCATTACCTGCTATGATCATATCATCTACGTAGACTAACAAAAGAGTGAGTTTACCATTTTGAGAATGCTTTATAAAGAGAGTATGATCACCTTGGCTTTGTTTATAACCCAAGGACACCATAACCTGAGTGAGCCTTCCAAACCAAGCTCGAGGTGATTGCTTGAGCCCATATATGGCCTTCTTTAATCTGCAAATCTTATTACTTCCTAAAGTAGGGTCATATCCAGGTGGGATCTCCATATACACCTCTTCCTTCAAATCTCCATGCAAGAAAGCATTTTTCACATCAAACTGTTGCAACTCCCAATCAAAGTGAGCTGCCAAGGAAAGAATGATTCTTACAGTGTTCATTTTTGCTACTGGAGCAAATGTCTCTTCATAATCAATTCCATAGGTCTGGGTGTATCCCTTTGCTACTAGCCTCGCCTTATATCTGTCCAGTGTGCCGTCGGATCGGTATTTTACCGTATATATCCATCTGCAACCTACTGGCCTCTTGTCATTTGTCTTCTCAATAATCTCCCAAGTCCCATTTTTCTCTAGTGCCTGCATCTCTTCATTCATGGCTTGAATCCAGTTCTTATCCTTTAATGCTTCTTGTACTGATGTAGGGACTCTAATAGAGTCAATAGCTGAAATAAAACTCTGATGCTGCACAGAAAGTTTTTCAGTAGACACAAACTGGGATATAGGGTATTTAGTACAAGACCTTTTTTCTTTTCTCAAAGCAATAGGTAGGTCATCAAGGTTCAGCTCACAAGAATTACTAGGCTCAGGGTTAGGAACACTTACCTCAGGTTCAGACGATTGGACTTGTTGGGGCAGAACGGGTTTACCTTTCCACCTTTTTCGCTGGAACTGTAACTTGTATCTGTCAACGTTATTATGCACCGGTATTGGTACGTCACCACCATCCTCATCATTATTATGCACCGGTATTGATACATCACCACCATCCTCATTAGGCATCAAAGGCTCTTGTATTACAGGAATAACAGGAAGAACAGACAATTCAGGAGACGACTCTGGGTCCTGTATTAGAGGAATAACAGGAAGAATAGACAACTCTGAAGACTCAGCTTCTTGATTATTCTCCCCCTGAAGCTGAGGATTGGGATAAAAAGACTCTGATTCCTGAAAAGTAACATCCATGGATATATAGACACGACGACTAGGAGGATGATAACACTTGTACCCCTTCTTATCTGAAGCATATCCTATGAAAATACATTTAATAGCTCGAGGATCTAACTTACCTCGATGAGGGCCATGAACATGGACAAAGGCAGAACAACCAAAGACACGATTCTGAAGACTTGACAAGATGGGCACAGACGGAAAGAATTGAGTCAGGACCTGCACGGGACTAACACCAGATAACACCCTAGAAGGTAACCTATTGATTAAATAAGCAGAGGTCAAGACAGCTTCCCCCCAATAAAATTTAGGAACATTCATTTGAAAGCGTAATGCTCGGGTGATTTCAAGAAGATGACGATTTTTTCTTTCAGCAACCCCATTTTGTTGTGGAGTGTTAACACAAGTCAACTCATGAACAACACCATTAGTTTTGAGAAAATTGTAAAAATTTTGGTTTACATACTCCTTACCATTGTCTGACCGTAACCGTTTAATAGGTTTTCCAAACTGTGTTTTGACCATTTGAAAAAAGTTAACAAACAATTGACACACTTCAGACTTATCTTTCATAAGAAAAACCCATGTAACCCGAGTACAATCATCAATAAAGGTAACATACCATTTTGCCCCAGAAATATTGGAAATGGATGAAGGCCCCCATACATCAGAATGAACAAGATCAAAGGGTTCGACACTCTTAGTATTACTAGGGGAATAGGTTGCTCGATGAGATTTGGCAAACTGACACACATCACAATGAAAGGAATCAACAGACACTTTGGTAAATGAGTGAGGGAATAGAGACCTGAGCATCTGGAAAGGAGGATGTCCAAGACGCCTGTGTTGGAGCCATATTTGAGTATTTGCCCATGACTCTGAACCAGCCTGATGACACTTACTTTCCTTATGAGGCAGACAATATAACCCGTTCTGTTCCTCAGCAATTCCAATCGTCTTACCTGTGGCAAGATCCTGAAAAACACAATGAGAATGAAAAAAGGTTACTACACAGTTCAAGTCTTTAGTGAGTTTATGGATGGACAAAAGATTGTTAGAAAGCTTAGGGACATGAAGCACATCATTTAGATGGAGAGATGGGCTTAGGTGGATGTTACCAGATCCGACAATCGGGGTTTGAGACCCATTTGCAACGGTAATATGGTTTTTATTAGGTAAAGGTGAATAAGAAGAGAGATATGACATATATGGAGTCATGTGATCAGTTGCACCAGAGTCAATAATCCAGATATCTTTAGAACAAGAGGCATTAAAAGCTAAGGAGCTAGAATTCTTACCCATCATGGTCAGAGAACTAGTGTTAGTGAACTTACTCAAGGAGTCCATAGAGAGAAACAAACCGTCTCGAACCAGGAGAGGATCGAGATCTACTGTTAGGAGAGGATCGAAGGGCTGCCAATTAGAAACACCAACAACGATGACAACCGAACAATCAAGGGCTGCAAACAGCAAGTAAATAGAGGTACGGCAATGAAGGCCTTCCTAAAAAAAAGATGAAGGTGAAAACGTCCGGATCTGCAACGGCGGTTGAGCGGTGCACGATGGCTGCAAAGTCACCGAGATCACTAGGGTTCCAAGAGAAAGGGAACCTTGAAAAAAAAAGGACCGTAATAAGAACGGCTAGTGTTTTGAGCGCGGAAGCAGAGCCCCTAGAATCGGGAGCTCTGATACCATGTAGAAATATGGAAAAATTTTATATATCTTGTAAAGAATACATAAGAGGTATTTATAGACTATACATCTATCTAAATAAGGGTGTAATTATTCTCCTATAAATGCTAATAATTATTCTCCTATAAATGCTAATTATTCATAATAAGTTGTATAGGATAGCAGCTCATAATGAGCTGTATGATATTCAACATATTCTAATAATAATAATACTAATATTACAACACAAACTAATGAAATCGGCAAATTTGTTTTTTCTGTTCTATTTTCCTTCCTCATGTCTTCCACAACTCACCGGAATTTTTGTTTTTATTTTTTGAAAAAAAAAAGAGTCTCCTGACCACGACAGATCCTTCACACCACCATTGTTAAGTTGCCAGTTATCTTCTCGCACCACAGTCCCTATCTCTGTGTTGGCAGCACCCCGTTTGAGAATTATTGATTAAATACAACGATAATTAGTAGGGTTTAACCAAGGTTTAATTCATTCCAATTCCAATCAATAAAAATCATAGAATCTCCAATCATTTTCATTATTTTTTTCTATCTTTTCCCAGGTACTAAAATGGAGGAGTTATCAAAAAACCAGATTTTTGCTGTTCACGGAATTGCTGGTGCTGGGTCCATAGCTTTAGCCACAGCTTTCACCTATCCTCTTGATACTATCAAAGTCCTCATTCAGGTTCTAACTTTCTTAATTTTTTGTAATTAACCACTAACAATGTGATTATGCTTATACCAATGTTTTGCTTGTTAATTCAAAGGTTGGTTCTAGTGCTGGTAAAGAATTGAATGCTAACCAGGTTGTTACGAGGGTAATCTCTGTGTCTGGTAATGCAGGTATGTTTTTTGTTTAAGTTTTATGTGGGGGCATACCAACTGAATGATGAATTGTCTAAGAGAATAGAATTGGATTTAAATGTGTATATGCATAACTGATATTCATTGGTGTTGAATTGTTGTTCTTTAGTATCATTTTTACTTGCATCATGGATATTATGGGTGTTTAGACTGGACCAAACCATGTTTCCTCCTTTATTGTAATGTTTTTTTTTCAGGCGTTAGTTTCAAAGATTCTTGAATAGACTTGATATGCTAAGTATCTTGAGCTCTAGGTCAATATTGAGTGATGGTTGTTTTGGCATTTTCAGATTCGGTTCTGTGTTACTGGTTTTGTGAAACTAATTTTATGCTCCTTTTGGCTCAGTGCATAAAAATTATTATGTATTCTAACTCTTGTGTCTTGTTACATTTGGGTGTTTCAGGTATGTTCGGTGGTTTTGGTTGGTTGGCATTTGGGAGGGTTTTTGGTCTAGGAGCGCGATTTGGGGTTTATGAGATTTTGACAGCCGTTTGTAAAGGTATGTTCTTTTAAATCTTCTTTTAGCTCTTGTGTGTGATTAGCATTCCCTTTTTTCTTCATTTTTTCTCATATATATGCATAAAAGAAAATAGCACTACTCTCTTTTAGATGAATATGGCACGTTTATCATTGTTTCAGTCATTCAAGATTGAGGTTTTGGTATCATGTATGTGTGTTGTGTAGCAATGTCTGATTTTAGATGCCTTTTGATTGTTTGACCTTAAAGTCATGTGCGCTTGTTTTTTTTCCCAATACCTTTTTTTACTTTGTTATTCATGAATTACAACATATGGTGTTTTCTGGGTGGTGAGTGATTGACTTGGGTGCTCACGGGTACACTTTTGGCAGATGGTCGGGAAGATAATTATGTCACTGCTTCTGAGGCTCTTTTGGCTGGCATGGTTGCCGGTGGCACAGAGACATTCATAAGCTCTCCATTTGAACTCATTAAGCTTCGTGTCCAGGTTGCCTCCGCTTCATATGTTCCAAGCTCTAACTTTGCCTTGGAAGAGGGAGCTCGCAAACCGCTAATTGCAAGATTACTCAATGGCTGCTATCCAGACAAGAGGTCTTTGAATCAATATGTTGGTCTCATGTCAACCCTAACAACCAAGAACACCAACATAACAGGTGCTTTACTTGAGCATCCATGGGCAATGACAGGATCTGGGAGGCCACCGTCAGTTTGCAATGTGAAAAGGCCATCAGATATTATATCTTTGGAAGGATGGAGCACATTGTGGAGAGGTCTGCGTTCTGGAATAGCTCGAGATTCTGTCTTTGGTGGCATATTTTTTTCAAGTTGGCAATTCTTGCACCAAGCAATGCTTGATTGGAAGGCTGTAGGAATGAATCCTCCACCCAGGTTCATCTCTAATTCATTAATCGAAGGAACATCTCTTCTGTATCATTCTTCTTGATATTGTATTTATTTGGGCATAATTTTAGACGATATAGCTTTATGCCTTTATGAAAAAAATTCTGATTGGGGAGCAGTCAAACTAAAACTAACAACAGCTAAGCCTTATAGTACTAAGAGATGCCATAATATTATATCACATCTCATCTCTATCCAACTCATTATTCTCTAGATCTTTTCTGATAGTTTCTCTTTTAGTTGTTGAGGAATGCTAAACTAACACTAAACGAGACATCAATGTTGTATAAAATACAGTTATGATTTTATTATTTTTTTTCTACATTTTAAAATATGGGCACAAACTGAATTGCTCACATTGTCCAAATGATACTATACGGCATCTTTCTGGAGGTGTCCAGTTTTGTGTTTCCTTAGCAAGACTCTGGTTTTTCTAGGTCTCTGCCTCTAGGGTTTTGACCACTCTACATTTAATCTATTCTCCTTGAAACAAAATCTACATGTCTTCTCTCTATATCTCCAAACCACCTATGCCGAGTGTCCATCATCTTTTCTATAGTTGGTTCTATCCCAACTCTCTCTAATGTTGTCATTTCTAATTCTATCATGTCTGGTCTTACTACACATCCAACGCAACACCCTCATCTTCGCCACACATATTTTATTCCCGTGTTGGTTCTTTACTGCCCAACACTTTGTCACATACAACATCTTGCATCTTACAGTTGTAGGATAAATTTTGCCTTCAACATCCAGTACTTTTGTATCACATAAGATACCTCACTGAAGCCACCTTCCATTTCAACTACCCTGCTTGAATTCAATGATTTACCCATCCTATTTCTTGTCATTTTGTATTATGGACCCAAGATTTTTAACCCATGTAACTTGTGGTATGGCATGATCTCTAACATGCACCTCTAAGCTAGAAATATTTTGCCCATTGCTAAAATTGTATTCCATATATCTGTCTTGCGTATACTCAAGCAGAAACTATACGCTTCGCTTGTCTCCAAGTCTCCAACCTCCCACTTAATTCCCCCCGCGACTCTCCAAGGACTAAAACTAAAAAGGTTCTTCAATAACATTTCGTCCATATTCTCCTATCTTTATTCTCTTTGTACATGAAAATGAGCCTTAGTGCTAAGGTTAGAGTTACTACTGCCATTTCAACTACCCTGCTTGAATTCGATGATTTACCCATCCTATTTCTTGTCATTTTGTATTATGGACCCAAGATTTTTAACCCATGTAACTTGTGGTATGGCATGATCTCTAACATGCACCTCTAAGCTAGAAATATTTTGCCCTTTGCTAAAATTGTATTCCATATATCTGTCTTGCTTATACTCAAGCAGAAACTATACGCTTCGCTTGTCTCCAAGTCTCCAACCTCCCACTTAATTCCCCCCGCAACTCTCCAAGGACTAAAACTAAAAAGGTTCTTCAATAACATTTCGTCCATATTCTCCTATCTTTATTCTCTTTGTACATGAAAATGAGCCTTAGTGCTAAGGTTAGAGTTACTACTGCCATATGATTGGGAGCTCACGTTTCAATTGTGAGATCAGCCTCTTGCAAATGAATATTAAGGTTGCCTATAATCATTCATAATAGATCCAACCCTCGGTTGGACCTCACCATAGCTGGGGCTTTATATTGTCAAGTTGTCCAGTTGTTTTCTTTGTTCTCAGATTGAGTTGCGATAACCTTAAAGTCTTATAAGTATGACGGCTGATGTTCGTTTTGAGGCTCTGTTCAGTAAACTATGAATAAGGTTGACGTGCTTCTTTTTAAGTGGATATGTATCCTCCACTCTTCCACTTCCAATTAAATTAATCTTCTGCAGCAATCGTACTGATACAAATGAGCTAAATCATGTGTTTGACTGGGGTTTAATGTTATTCTCACTGTAATTTTGGTCTATGATAAGGTATAGTAACTGTTGGTTACATGATACATTAAATGATATATTTTATCTTCTACTAGTGCTTTTAGACTAATCACTTCACCTGCAAATGAGTTAAATTTTCCTTTTTTATTTATGAGTGCTCGTATTGACTCAGGTTAAATGAAGAAGTTGGTCCCTTGTCTCCTTGGGCAGTTAGTCTCGCTGCTGGATTTTCTGGTTCAGTGGCTGCTGCTGCTTCTCATGGTTTTGATACTGCTAGAAGTAGATCACAATGTACTGTGCTTCCAAAGGTATGAACCTTGCTACTCGTTGATAAAAAGTTTGAAATTCTTCTGTTATAGTTTTTTGTTTTGTTTTGATTACAATCAAGGAGAAAACCATATGCTGAATATGTTTAAAACTATGCTGTCCCAAGTTAGGTTCATGGTCAGAACTTTAATCTTTAAATTCCAAAACTTCAGCATGTTATTTACCCTTGAATAAAATTTTCTGTTTAAGCAGTACGGTGAAGCCATTTTTATTTCCAGAGATGATTCTCTATACTTTGATAGTACGGAAAGTAATGAATAGAAATTCTGTTTTTGTATTAAACACTGAATAGACTAAAAAACAAGGATGAATCCATGTTACAAGCTAGTATAATGACTGTAGCAGAAACTAGATTATGATTGGAGCAAGCCCTGCAGTTATGCCTCTCACTTTTCTGCATTACTTCCCTTCAGCTAATTTTCACTTTTCTTCCTGTCATAAACCAGCAGACCTTGTCTCTTAGGCCCATTTAATCCCTTTCTTATATCTCCCCCCCATCCTTCCCTTCTGTTTTTTTTTCAATGTACTTGCTTAACGGGCCTATCATACCTATCATACCCTCTTTCCCCGATTGCCTTTGCTTTTTTCCGTTTAGGGTTACAAAGGCATATTTGTGGTTACCATTGAATATTTACTTTAAGTGGCTTAGCTCTTGATGATGTCATCTCATACATTGAATATTACTGTATCTCAATTTAGTAAAGTAAATTTTTTATTTCTTATGTTTCGAAAATTCCTACCAATATCCGATAGTAGTAATAATTTATACATTCTGTGGTCCCTCAGTATGTTTCAATGGAGAGAAAGTTACTAAAATGGAAACGACCAGGAAACAAGTTCGAAAGATTTACCGGAATCCATCCTTCTGACAGAAGTGTCTTGTTCCGTGGTCTCGGGTTGCGAATGGCCCGCTCTGGTATTGCTTCTTTCATGATTGTAGGAAGTTATTTATTCGCTGTCGATCATCTTGCCTCTAGTTTGACTTAGTTTCCACAAATTGTAACCCATTTTTTGTTCCTTGTTAGTAGTAAAGTGAAAATAGAAATAGATACTCAAATACAATTGTTATTATATGTAATAAAGCTTCTTGTACCAAGTAGATTTGCAATACAAAGACATGTTATTTATTTGGTTGTAAATTTCAAACTTTTATACTCCAAGGTGTGAAACCACAAAAAGTTTGTCCTCCTTTTGTTTTTCTTTGTATTTGTATATTAAGAGACCTTGTCCTTTAATCACTCTTTTTTCTATTGGATTACCCCTTTATGTGGGGTTGACTTATTTTGAACTTTTCTGTTGACCTTTGTTGGTTGCACTTGCATGGATGGAGGATTGGTATAAATAAACTTCACTCAAAAGCTACCTAGTTATTGGCCTCACAATGATTCTCTCAAGTTCCACTCGTTGCCAAAAAAAGAATAATAATCATACCTAAAAAACAAGCAAGCAAAAGGCCAAGAGGGTTAGGATAGATTGGTACATGTCAAACAAACATCTTGCCTTCACTTCCTCTTTCATGTCTTTACATACACACAATTTTTGTTGGAAACAACCAAAGCTTTGTATATAAGATGAAATAACTTAGGCCCATTTGGAAGGGTTTTCATCATACACAATCATAATGACTTCCAATATGATTTGGCATTTTCAACTTTCTACGAGTCTAAACTTTGAGCATATTGTTTTGTGTGACATTGAAAGCCACAAAGTACTTATAATTTTGTGTTTTAAGTAATGAGTTTTTGGTCTCACTCAACTCACATGTGCTCTGTTAATAAGCATGCACTTGTGAGATATGATTAACATGTTCAGTGGTTACGAGCTGATTAAGCAATGAAATAGTAAATTATTATTATATAAGAAACAAAGATCTAAGAGCAACATTGTTAGACAGGACAAAACCTCTATTGTATTTTTATATTATTATACTCATATTGTGTACTAAGTTTCAGAAGTTGGATTCTATCTTAAGGTTTCAAACTACAATGCTAGAAGAGCCATGTGGAAATAAACTAATAAAAAAGAGGAAATTGCCATTTTAATGGAAACCTCACTTCTATGAAATGGCTTGGAAGTCAAGGTTTACTTCATTTGCAGCTTTTGAGTTTTGACTTGTGAGTGTTATTATTCTGATTGTAAAGGTTTGTAGTAAAGAAGGAAGTAGAAAAGTTTTATATTCAAGAGTGGTTGAAAATGATGGTATGTCTTTGATTTCCACTTGTTAGTGGATATAAAACACATGTATGATATTTTCTTACTTTTTAATTTATAGCGGCAAGGTATCAATTATCATGCTTCTTTAATCAATTAGCATAAAGCAAAATATAAAGACAATTCGGTAAAAGCTTAAATCTATTTTATAAGAATCTTGAAGTTTCATTTTCACAACATTTTCAAACAAAGTCACATTATTAATGAACATGATTTTTTAGGGCCAGTGTGCTAGTCTTTTATTCTCTTGTCAAGCATATTGCAAATAGTTATGACTAGAATACCCTCACAGTTTCGACCCCTTGAACCGATTATGTGACTGATCATCGATTCAACTTATTTTTAAGTCATTGTATTAGAGATATATAGATGAATTAATTACTCATAATCTAACTACTTAGTTATTTAGTTACTTAGTTACTTAAGTGAGTTAGTTGCTCTCACTGTTAGGAAGTTTTTGTATTGGTCTTTGCATTGGTTACATAACTAACTTTGAGTTAGTTGAGAATTAGTTATCTAACTAAGTGAGATTACTTGTACTACAAGTATATAAGAACTTACTTGCATGATGATAAGATCAAGAGATTTCCCTCACATAACGAATGGTATCAATGGGATCCGGAGCTCCATTCAAGGGCCCTGGTGTGTTTCTTTCAATCATTAAATATAGTTTTTTGATTAAAAGCGGGAAATGTTGTTAATTCTTCACCGTGTCTCACCATTCAAGTTCTTTCTATGGTAGATTCCTCAAATTTCTTGACATCTGTAATTTTCAAATTCGATGGTTTCTATTGAAATTCTGGTATGCAGATCACATGTGTTCCAAGAACATTGATCTCTGCTCAACAAGGACGAGGACAGATCATGACCAATTTAAATTTTTTTAAATTGTCCCGATGGCATGACCAATGTCACGACCTCTGTTGTGACATCTGCAGTCTGTCATACTATTTATCTAACCATTTAAATTACAGAATTGTAAATGCAGAAAGATAAATAACACAATAATTGTTCACCCAGTTCGGTATCAACAACACCTACATCTGGGGGCTACCAAGCCAGAGAGGAAATTCACTATTAGTAGAATCAATTCAAAGTCAAACCTCTAATTTGCACTTCTCACTTAATCTCTACCCAATGACACTTCAGCCTAGAGACACTCTAGTACCTGAGTATACCCACTCACTCCCCCACTATCACACAACAGTGATATCAAACAATTACAAAAACAGTATGAAGAGACACTTCATACACACCTTGATCTTGCTTCACAACTTTGATCAAGGAACTCACACACTCTTGCTTCACAGCTTCGAGTGAGACACAACCTAGAATCTACCTAACCAAAACAATCATCCACCAGACAATTGCTTGGATTACAAGTATTCCTAAACAGACTTTGTACGTGAAGAACAACCTTCTTCACTTACAATTATGTCTACCACAATGCATCATACAATGCAAAGGGTGACTTACACACAAGGGACTCTCAACCCTAGACCTCTATTTTACACTCTGATTTTTCTTGATGTGAGTGCTTGCTTTTCTTCTGCTTCTGCTCCTCCTTTTATAGTCGAGCAGACTGGGCTTGGGCTGTGCAGAAGTAACAGATATTAGTTTTAATAAATCAAAATTAATTTCCACAACTCAAGGTGCTGTCCAATTAGGTCATGACATGGTCAGCATTGCCTTGAATCTCTCCTGAGATAACTCAGAAGTCATAACATGTTTCCTGATATTTAGCCTGATATAATTCAGGTATCATAACAGAAAAACAAACTCAGCCTGTCTGATGTCATACGATCCATGTCATGACATTCAGTATGACATTCAGCTTTTGCTCACTCTTAGCTGACCAGCTTGCTCTGCTGAACACTTCTGCAGAATCTTCATCATGACAGTCATGGTTTCTCCAATCTTTTGCATAATAATATTAGAAACAAGTATATTCAAGTTTCCTAAAAGGTCTCCAAGATCCTTTTATGAATACCAATACAATCTGTTCTTGTTCCTAATCCATCTCCTTGACATATTTATTGATGAGGTATTTTCAACATGGTCTCATCAATCCAAACCATTTCTGTCAAGAGATATACACTAGCAGTTCCTTCTGTTGTCATGCAGCTATGACTTGCTTAAAACACATGACAACCCACTTCACTCACCACAACTCACATTGTTGTGGATGCACACCTCACACTGCCTGTGAGGAACTTCATCACAACTTAACCTGTTGTGGCTGCACACCTCACACTGCCTATGAGGAACTAGGCTACTGCTAACCCATAGCAGTTCTTATTGTGCCAGACAGCTATGTCATTACTTTGGTAATGACATCCATGACAACTGTCCTTTCTTCTACTGCTCGCTCTTGCTTGCTATTGCAATGCCTGTTGTGCTAGACAACTATGAGACAGCTATGTCATTACTTTGGTAATGACATCCATGACAACTGTCCTTTCTTCTACTGCTAGCTCTTGCTTGCTATTGCAATGCCTGTTGTGCTAGACAGCTATGAGACAGCTATGTCATTACTTTGGTAATGACATCCATGTCAGCTGTCTTTTCTTCAACCTCTGTTGGCTCTTGCTGCACTCGACCTTGATGTCAGGCTCCATGACAGCAGTTCAGTTATTCATATGTCATTATTTTAGTAATGGCATCCATGTTCAACCCACATGACATCGGTACCTTCACCAGCTCCTGCTTGCTCCTTTAGTGATGTCATACTTATGGTAATGACATCCTGCTTAACATTTATGCAGAATCTTGTTTTACCACAATTTAGCCAATCATAGAACCATGGACAATTCTCTATCTTAGAACCATTGAACCAACATCTATAATCATTGGGCCTCGAGTATCTTATTTGATCCAAAGAGTATTGGGATCTGGTTGAGCATGGTGTGACTGTAGCCCCACCAAGTGCAACGCCAGAACAAAGAAAACTTGTACAAGAAAGCAAACTCAAAGATCTCAAAGACAAGAACTACTTGTTTCAAGCAATTGATCGGATAATTCTTAAAACAATCTTGGTTCATGACATAACAAATGATATTTGGGATTCCATGTGCAGGAAGTATCAAGATCCTATGATATGAAGGTGAAAAAGGCTCAATTGCAGGCCTTACGTCATGAATTTGAGGTGTTTGACATGAAAATGTTGAGATCACAATTGTTGAGATCAACGACCACAAAATTCAATTATGTGGTGTGTTCTATAAAAGAATGTAATGATGCCACAACTCTTTCCATTGAAGATCTTAAGAGCAGTATTCTTGTGCAAAAACAAAGGATGAAGATTAATCAAGAAAAAGAGGAAGAACACGTGTTGAAATATTGTAAATTATGGTCGTGGTGGTGGTAGCCATCGAGGTAGGGGACATGGTGGCTTTCGTGGTCGTGGGAGAGGAAGGCAAAGTAGAGATCATATTGAATGCTACAATTATCACAAGATAGGACACTATTAAAGTGAGTGCCCAATGTGGCACAAATATGATGTCAATTTTGTTGGATATGATGAAAGCGAAAGGCTGCTTCTCATTGGTACAACATGAAGAAATCACAAAAACCAACAATCAAATTCAGTTTCTTGATTCAGGATGTAGCAATCACATGGTGGGAATAAAATATTGGTTCTTCAATTTTGATGAAATTTTTTGAGAATATGTCAAAAATAAGAGGTGACTCCAAAATGCAAGTGATGGAAAAGGGAAATGTGAAGCTTCACATGAATGATATCATTCAAGTGATCACTGATGTGTACTACCTGCTAG